GTCTTACAGCCGCTACCTTGAGCTCACAAACATAACGTATTTCTTGACCATTTTCATCCTCATCCATCTCAACTAACACGCTACCTAACACGTCAAATTGTGAAATTGAAGAAGATTGCAGTATACATACCTCTTCGGATATATTTTTGCCATTCCATATAATAAAGGGATAGTTCTCTCGCCGCTGAAATTACTATACAATAGACGAACACCCTGCAGATTAGTTGACTTCGCCATTTTAACTGCATGCTGGACTAAGTGCTTGCAAATGAGGAAGCAACTATCAAGAAATGACGAGTAACTACATATTCAACGTGCCAATAAAATAACGTTTCTCGTGCCCATCAGCAATTGGTTTTACAATGAGCTACTTCCAATTACTCTTGAACTCCTCAAACCAAGAAGGAGCCATTCGTTCTAAGCATATTTGATTGAGACGAGTAATCTGATCAGGAAGAATACGCGTACAAATGATCCACATAACGTAATCCAATCGTGGTTAATTGAACCTATGAAGGTAACAATGCTTGATGATCCTCCAGTGTGATTCAATAAGCATGTTCGTTTTGCCAAACGGAATTATCAATCGTGTTAATCGGGCCCAGAGTACTCATTTTGTTATCATATACCAAGAAGTTCACAAATAGATTCAAAGCAAAACGAGCTTATTTGCGATACAAAACTCGTACATTTCGCAGATTGCACTCTTTCGTATCTCATCAGCTGTTAGGAATTGTCCTGCAGCATTTATAGAAATTCTTGTATACATATTAAAGTACTTTCTAATTAGATTAATAACCTTATCTTATAGGTCTGACGGACATACCATGTAGTATTCAGGCTCAGAATGTTCCAAATCAGGCTTAAATGCGGCGTCAATAAAATTAAACTCTACTATAGCATCATTTGACTGATATTGGTTATGGTAGATTTGCTTATGATTCTTGAGCTTTTCTCTAACAGCCTTCTTGATGTGTCATAGACAGAGCTGTATATTAGCATTGAGCCACACTTCTTTTGCAGCATTGATTTCTGTGAAATCTTTGTCAATGTAAAAGTATCATGATTGCAGCTCTTTGTCATAAAGAGAATGAAGGAAACTAGCAAGCATCTTTATCCATAATCCTGTTTGTTTTTCAATATCTTGTGCTTTCATAATATTCAAAGCAAGGTATGCTATTGGAAATCCTGTATCCTCAATATTATCAATAATTTCATAGAGTTTGAAGCATTTTTTAATTGTTTTATAAGTTGTATCACAATGCATGCTTGATAATAAGAATAGTTTGACTAATAGAGAGGTCATGAATCTGATTGCTGTAATCAAGTTAGTATTCCAATTGAAGCAAAGCTCACTGGTTTCAGTATGAGATTCATCAAAAAAGTGACATGCAGAAATTATATGATCTTCATCTAATTTATAAAAGCGTTGGCAATATATTGATCACCAATAATAAATTTGTTTCTCAGTGATAAGTGAAATATCAAATATTTGACATAAATATATCTGTAATTGTATAGAATTCATATTGTTACCATTTTGATGGGACTTTCGAAATACTCAAAGATATTTATAAAATTTAAGGAATATTCAAAGGGAAACT